TGCAAAACCCAGTCCCTTAGTAAGGCCTTAATGCTGGGGAAGATAGAAGAAAGGAGAAAATGACTAGCAGCAAAGAAATAGGCTCAATTATTATGCTGATGGCTATATTGTTAGAAGACCTGAAGCCCAGAGACAGATCATCCTGAAGAATATTTATCTATGTGGTCACTGCAGCTGATACCAATGTGATGGCATATATTCTATCAATCAAAATATATAAGAAAACTAAATGCATTTGATACTATATCAAATTATTTATCAATACCTATTTTGTGCAGCATACTCATGATATAGATAAAAGTTATTCAAAACTAATTACTATAACATTACATAAAGCATAAGTAAAATTTACCATTTTAACTAATTTTATATTGCTTTATTATGTTAAAGGTTTTTGAAAAATATTCAGCACTTTAAAAATAATACATTTTTCTAAAAACATAAAGTACATAGCCTGAGTTATGTCTGTACTGCTTATTTGGCAGATCAAAATATTCTCCCTATATTATAAGAAGATTTCAGCTTCTAAGCCCTTCTGTGATCCAAGAAATACATAAACTGGTAAAAACAATAGAATGAGATTATTTAATAATTTTGTTTAGATAATTAATTTGAAGGAAACCCAAGATAGATAAAACTATTCTAAAACTCCTTCCCTATATCTATCCCCAAAATGTATACTCCAGTAGGATTTGTCGTTCATATCTATTTTAATTGTTGTTTGTTTGATTAATTAGGAAATTTTTATGGTCACATATCTTAAAAAAACAACTTTTGAGTGATTTACAAGTCCATAGGGGGGAAAAATAATAAAACGCTGTAAACAAAATGAAAGATACAATTAAATCATAATGCAATAACTAAGACACTGTATAACAAACTTATAAATTAAATCCTTCCAGATTTCAAAGGAGACAAGCACCATGACACAATTGTTGTTCATCAACAGAGCTGATCATCATTACTATAATCTCCCACTAAAATTACCAATATTTTTTTCATCTTTTTCACCACGTTATAAACTGAGTGTACTGATCCAATATAAGGATTCCTTCTGAAGTATTAATGAGAATATTCATTAATGAGACTCATTAACACATATCAAATTTACTTGATTGGAAATTAGAAATTAAAGTATTTCAAAGCTAATAAAATACATTTAAGGATATTAAGACTCAAAAGATGTATGTCTTGCTAAATTCAACAAACCACTAGAAATCAAAATCATAAGTATGTATGTTATACGGGTACTCCTCATTTAATTATGATAATTGGGACTGGAATTTCTATCGCCAAGCAATGCCAGTTGTAAAGTGTCACATCACATGACCACATCACTTAACGACAGCAATCCCAGCAGTCCTTGTTGCCATCATTAAGCAAGGCTCGTGGGTTGTTAAACAAAGATCTCTCACAACTACCTAATTGCTTTATTATGTTAAAGGTTTTTGAAAAATATTCAGCACTTTAAAAATAATACATTTTTCTAAAAACATAAAGTACATAGCCTGAGTTATGTCTGTACTGCTTATTTGGCAGATCAAAATATTCTCCCTATATTATAGGAAGATTTCAGCTTCTAAGCCCTTCTGTGATCCAAGAAACACATCAAGCAACAAGCAAAGTCAATAAAGAAGCTGGTAGGAAGTTGCAAGTCCTAGGTGGCTGGTGGTGATGTCTGCAGCACAGAAGACATTGGGATGGCTGCTGCTGGGTGGAAAGGATGCACAGGTGGGCTACCATGGGTGTCTTACAATCTTCCTTGCCAGTTTCCCCACTGACTCTGCTTGTGGGAGAACCTGGCAGGAAAGTCTCAAATGACAATCACATGACCACAGAATGTTGCAACATCATTATAATGAGCTAGTTATTCTGTTAGCTTCTGGTTGCCAAGTGCCCTGATCGCAATCACATGACCATGGGGTTGCTGAGAAAGTCAGAACTTTGAGGAGCAGTT